CAGCGAATCGCCATTACTCCCAGCTCCAAGATTCCCACCACCACGACGGTCGCCGCCTCGGCGAAGGCCACCGGCTCAAAAATGAGTCCGGACGAGTCGCCGGAGTCGCCGTGGCCGGACTCCATTCCGCAGATTGGCGAGCACTTTATGGTGAAGCGATCGGATGGCTCGTGGCGTAAGTGCTTGTTGCGAGTTCTATTTCTCCTCCTTTCTCCTCGATTTCTAACTTCACACTTCTCTCCACCACCCTTCTAGACGCCGCCGAGATCATCGAGATCCGCGCCATCAGCGACAAGGCGGGCGACATCGTCAACTACGAGTTCTACGTCCACTACGAGGGCTTCAACCGTCGCCTGGACGAGTGGATCACCCGCGCCGCCATCGACGAGTCGCAGAAGGTGCAGCCGGCGGAGGTCGATCCGGCCACCATCGACACCACCGTCATCTTCGACCCGAACGACAGCTACCGGAAGCTGACCCGAAATCAGAAGCGCAAACACGATGAGATCAACCACGTGCAGAAGAGCTTCGCGGAGATGGACCCGACGACGGCGGCGCTGGAGCGGGAGCACGAGGCCATCACCAAGGTGAAGTACATCGACCGCATTCAGTTTGGCAAGTACGAGATTGACGCCTGGTACTTCAGCCCCTACCCGGAGGAGTACGGGAAGCAGGCGAAGCTGTGGATCTGCGAGTTCTGCCTGAAGTACATGCGCTACGAGAGCACCTACCGCCGCCACCAGGTGAGCTGCGGCCAGAGGACGCCGCCCGGGCGTGAGATCTACCGCAAGGACACCATTGCCGTCTACGAGGTGGACGGGGCGGAGGCGAAGATCTACTGCCAGTGCCTGTGCCTGCTGGCGAAGCTTTTCCTCGACCACAAGACGCTCTTCTTCGACGTGGAGCCCTTCATCTTCTACGTGCTGGCCGAGGTCGAGCCTCGACCCATTTCCTCCTCATCTTCCTCCTCCTCCTCGACAGTGGCCCACATCGTGGGCTACTTCAGCAAGGAGAAGAACAGCCCGGAGGGCAACAATCTCGCCTGCATCCTCACGCTGCCGCCTTTTCAGCGAAATGGCTACGGCCGCTTCCTCATTGCCTTCAGCTACGAGCTGAGCAAGATGGAGGCGGTGGTGGGGTCGCCGGAAAAGCCGCTCTCCGATCTCGGCAAGCTCAGCTACCGCTCCTACTGGGCCTGGGTGCTGCTGGAGATCATGCGCGAGTCGAAGACGGTCATTAGCATTCGCGACCTGTCGACGATGACCAGCATCACGCAGTCGGACATTGTGAACACCCTGCAGACGATGAACATGGTCAAGTACTGGAAGGGCCAGCATGTGATCTGCGTGACGCCNGTCGAAGACGGTCATTAGCATTCGCGACCTGTCGACGATGACCAGCATCACGCAGTCGGACATTGTGAACACCCTGCAGACGATGAACATGGTCAAGTACTGGAAGGGCCAGCATGTGATCTGCGTGACGCCGAAGCTGGTGGAGGAGCACCTGAAGCAGGAGGGGCAGAAGGTGCCCCGGCTGGTGGTCGACCCGGCCGCCCTCAAGTGGACGCCCCCGGCGAGGCCGCCCAAGCCGAGGCCAAAGTAGAGAGAGAGGAGTGTTTCGATTTTGATGAGAGCCTGTCAATTCTGTGAATCCTAATTCAACACACACACACACACTATGTACAAAGATACCTTTTCCCAAACGTTAGCCTGAACTTCCAAGCTTCCACAACCATTCATCCCTAAACCCTTCCTCCTCTTCCTTCCTCAGATGATCTTCTTCTTCCACCACTAAACAAAGTATTTATTTTGACGATCCAAAGGGATGAATGAATGAATGATCCAAGGAAACAAACAAAAAGGGCTGGAGAACACTTTGAGGTGCACTCTCNCCCTTCCTCTTCTTCCTTCCTCAGATGATCTTCTTCCACCACTAAACAAAGTATTTATTTTGACGATCCAAAGGAATGAATGGATGATCCAAGGAAACAAACAAAAAGGCTGGAGAACACTTTGAGGTGAACTCTCTCTCTTACGTTTAGCTTGGCAGCCTTTGCCCGTTCGCAGAGGACGTGCACCTTCTGGGCGCCTTGCATCACTTTCACTCTTTCACACTCTTACACACACACACACACACACCGCTGCTTTGCCGTCTGTCAGACAGAGAAGACAGAAAGACAGTGTGAGCAAAAACAGGATTCTCCCAGCAAGAGAAGAGCGAGGATTCTCTCGCCACCGAAAAGGTATCCTCGACGGCGAAGGGCTTGTCTTCAGCAGCAGCAGCAGCAGCATTACCACCAGCAGCACTCATCACTGGCCTCGTCGGTCTGTCCATCCGTCTGCGGCTACTACTGCGGCACTGTGTTTTGTTTGCTCTCCTCTTCTCTTCTCTTTGCCTGTACAGCACAGACACACACGGCTTCTGTTGTTGTTGTTGTGATGTGTTTGAGTGTATGTTTTTAACTACCACTTTTGAGACCTGAATTTCATTCTACTTTTTCGCCGTTAATTGGATTTACCTTCAGCCCTTTTCGAAGATTTGATCACCTTCGGCTAATGAGGATCGAGGTTGAAGATGGTGAAGGCCTTTGATGGCTTACCTACTGTGATGAGCAGCAGAAGACGACGGCGGTGATTATGATGTCCTGCCGATGTGATTGAAGGAGAGAGAGTAATGGTAAGTGCAATGCTGAGGGTGGTGGTGATGATAGCTGCCGCTGCTAAACAGCTGCTCTGCTTGAGCAATCACAGATTCGATAGGTCATTGTCGGTTCGAGGCAGTGAATCATTTTTTTGTGTGCTTGCTGTGTTGAGTTCCTGGAACACCCAAATCTAAGTTAAATTTTTTTCCGTATTCGGGATCGCATTAAAAGGTCACCACTTCCTTCACCACTTCTATTTCCTTTTCTTCTTCCCTAGATCACTTGACCATCTAGCTTTAATTAATTTTCACTTTCTTGATTTCTTCAACTCTTATTAATTTGATTCTTTTTTTCATTTTCATGGCATTTCTCTCCTTAGCGGATTATGACTTCTTCCTCTTCCTCCTCTTTGCACACTGCTGAACTTCTTTTTATTGCTTATCGACTTTTCGTTTGCAAATAGGACACTTTCTCTCATAAAAAAGGTTAATATCATTTTTAATAACTTTTCTTATACCGCCGGTTTTAACGATTTTCATTCGACTTTCTTCTGTTTTTAGAACCAAGCTTAGGCTCTCTTCTTTACCTTTTCTTATTTTGTTCCCCACAATACCTCCCACGGCGTCAAAAAGGTCACCAACTTTTAACACCTTCTTCTTTTATCCACCTCCTCTTCTTCTTTATCAACAAACCACCAATTATCACCTCTTTCTCTCCTTCATACACATTCTTCCAGACTGAGCCATCAACACCACCACCATCATCGGCCTCACCTTCACCAGAAAGAGAGAGGGTGAAATCCACCACCATTATCAGCAACAGAAACAGGAGCTTAGAACCGCAAATAATCACCACCACCATCATCACCTCTTGCTTCGAGGACGTCGATGACTAATGCAGACACTGATCATCTGAGTGTGGCACAGGTCGTACAAACAACAGCAACATCAGCAGCAGCAGCTTGATAAGTCGACGCAACTTCTGCAACCACCACCATTACCATTGCCATCCATCAACACTGCAGCAGCAGCATTACCACAACCAGACAGTGTTACCAGTGACAACCACCACAGCACAGCACAGTACAACACATCGTCGTAGTCCTCATCAGCATCAGTATTGCAAGACCTCGCCAATCTGATCATCAGCAACAGCAGCAGCAGCAGCAGCAACCCCTTATCACTTGGTGGTCGTCTGGCCGACCAGAAACTCAGATCTGTCTGTCTGCCAGCCACTTCTTCTTCTTCTTACCCTTACTCTTTGAGCCACGAGGAGAGATCCACAGGAGAAGTAGAAGCCAGTGATATTGCTACCTCTTCTGTTGCTGCTGTTGCCGTACACAGCGACGCACACTTCTACCGCTGCTGTACAGTACACTGTACGACAGCCTTCTCTTTCTTAGCTCTCTCTCTCTCTTTCTCAGCAGCCACTGCTCTGATTCTTCACCACCACCACCACCACCAGCACTGTCTCTATTTTTGTTCACCAACAGTGTCAGTAGTGTGACTCATCGTCTGGTGGCAACTTCTTCTTCTTCTTCATCCAGTGCAAAAGTTACCTCGACGAGGTCTTGCTCCCTGGTGTTGCTCTCTCCTGCCACGAGTTGGATATTATTCTCACTCTCTCTCCTGTCTGACTGACAATTCTCAACTCATCTTATTCTCTACACTCAACTCGTGAATTGAACATCGACGCTGCAACCTCGACTGCAAACCTCGTCGTTTGGCAAGAGAGAACAAAAGGGCCGCCGCATCTTTGAATCCGCTAATCTCTTATTCTTTTTAAGAGAAAGTGGTCGTTGATGCTAATCAGCAGCATCAGGACTTCACGAGAAAAAGGCTGTTGTCGCTTCTTCTTCCTTCTTCCTCGTCTGCAGTGGTAGCAAACTTTGCACCGCCAAAATCATCTTTGCCACCATCTTTGATATACTGTTGGTCTTCTTCTATCGCGGTCCCCGACCATCTTCAGCACAACATCCGTCGAAAAAAGACTGAGGCAAGCAAGC